ATTTCACATTTTCTTACACTAGTAGTGAAGTAGTGAAATGTGCTGTCGTAACACAAGAATGTCTGGTGAGATGCTGATGATTCCTCTTTAAGTTATGAGTGTGTTCCCTGGGATATTTTGGTTTCCTCTTCTTTCTCTAAAAATTTAAAATGTTATCCCTCTGAAAGAACAGATGAAAAAAAATTATAGTACAGTATAGCGATGGTGGAAATCGCAATACCAAGCGATAGCAATATAAGGAAAAAGGAACACAAGAAACTTGATAAATGCCAGGGGCCTAAAAGAAGTCCTGGAAGGTGAAGGCATCAGTGGTGCCCGTGGTGATTGGCGCTCTTGGGGCTGTAACTCCCAAACTGGAAAAGGCTACAGCAGATACCAGGAAAAACAAGAGACATATCAGCCTAGAAAAGCGCAGTACAAGGAACAGCAAAAATACTGTACATAACTCCGAAGCTCAAGAGGACCTGAGCTGGATGAAGGTGAGAGAGACCAACCACCATGGAAGGTGAGGAACACATTTTTTTATTTACATATAAAACTCACACAGATAAAGAAAATAAGCCTGTTTGCTTTGAAAACAGTTATTTTAAATAATCACAATTATTTTATCTGCAGATTAACAGACTTGAATCGAATTACCCTCTGAATTGCAACTCTCTTAATTACTACTAGATTAACCTACAACTTTCTGGTTTCAATATGATTTGATTTCAGTGTCCAAATTAGGACCTAACTGATATGGATTTTGTTGCGGCCAATATGATACCGATAAAATGAGAGTTGGAGCTGCCGATAGCCGATATAATCACCGATATATTTAGTGATGTAAAAATTCACTGCAAATCTTGAATTGTTTAAAAAACTTAGGTTTTGCTCTGGTGGATTTTAAATGAGGTTTATTTAGGCAACATTTTTACATCATATTTACAGACAGTAGGTCGGCCTAATGGCATTTTTGCATCACATTCTAGCTACTCGTTATGGGTATTCCAGTTTTTTATTCAAGTTTTTTCTATCCTATGCACACACATATTTCTGAAAGTTTCGTTTTCAGCCGCTGCCACTGTTAAACTACGAGAGAGAGAACATGACTCTCAATAAGGAGCAGGTTCCCGTTGTTCGCTTCAAAGAGCCGGCTCTAAGAGCCGTTTTGTTCAAGACCGACCCATCACTACTAGCTAGTAAAGAAACTACCGCTATTAACTTTTAGCTGTAAATGCGTTCGTGCTGCAGTAATTAATTATTTGCGTAAATGTCATCATTCACACCTCTATTCACAGCTCATTTACATATCAGTGCTGGTTCATTTTTCCAATTTTGTCACTTTACAGTCGGCCAGTAGAAGAGAAAACAGTCTGTTTATGTGAGGGAGCTACAGCAGCTAATCGCTAACCAATGAGAAAGAACCAAAACTAGCTTCAAAATCAACACATTTCCAACACTCACCGCTCACACAGGCTCCTCCTCACATCACAAGTCTGCACTAATAAATGTCCTTTTAATCCAGACTCAAACCGATTGTCTGTAAAAATATAATACCAGTGTTTGGATCAGGGTCTACAGGTGTAAATACTAGATAAATACTGATGCAGAGCTACATATTAGGACATTTATCTGTTTGTAAATTGGATTAAATGAACATAATGTAGAGAGTCTAAGATTTATAATGAGGTATAACATGCCCACGTGAAATATCGGCCCCATATCCACAAGATTTAGGCCGATCGCTGATATTTTTGCAAGTGCCCATATCTGCCGTTAATATCGCCCAACCGATAATATCGGCCAACCAATATATAGGTCAGGCCCTAGTCCAAATCTCTCTTCACGTGAAAGGATGCTGGAATTTGGGTGTGTTGTTTATGATAAGATCTCTTTGTGAAGGCTAGATAAATATTCCAAGTAGACAAGTTTCTATGATTAGATTGACTGAATTTCCTTCCAGATTATTCTGATATTGATTGTCAGCAGTCAGTCATAAAAATCTTCCTTCTTCTGGTGAGATGACAAAAGGGGAATTTGAAATGATTCCTGACACTACTCTTAACATACCTCCATCAAACTATTGAACTCTATGCTGTAAAGTCCCACTGTACAATCCTCTCTGCAATATTTTGTACATACTTCACCACTGTAAAACTGTATATAAAAATGTAAATATATATTTATTTATTTGTAAACTGTATGTATGCATTTATTTATATATTTATTTGTATGACAGGGACATGGCACAGTAAATGTATTGCAAAGACCAGATTTAACTACATCCACATTTTATCTGTATTTCCTGGGGAGAGGCAAAATAACTGCAGGTAACAGGGTACAGGTACTTCATAAAATGGCCCATGTATCATTTAAAATACAGCTAAAAACAAACTCCAACAAGTCATCACCAGCAGAGGGAGCACCTCATCAGCACTCCAAATGCCAAAAAAAAAAAAAAAAAAAAAAAAAAAAAAGAACATATTTACATATATACATTTTCCAGATGACTATAGCTACAGCCCTGACTCTCTTTAAGCCACACTCACAAAAACTTAGTGGTGGGGGCGCCTGGACTTGTACACTACACTAAAATGAATAATAATGCAACATGTGTTTCTTATCTAAAAACTTAAGCGCTTGTTTGTACAAGCTTTGAAGAGGTTGTTTTGCAGAGTTTGTTGCCAGTGACCATGTGCAATACGTAAAATGTGAAAATAGAACTGAATTCATAAATAGCTTGCCGACATCTGCACTCAGATGAAATGGAAGTCTATTTTTTGCATTACAACACAATGCACTTTACAATTTTCCCACATATCACAGTTTATATTTGACTACATTAGGGTCATTTTTTTCTACTTTCATGGTAAAAGGTAAACACTTGGATATGCACTATATGTACTTATATTCAAGATTATTCTCATAGAAAAATATTACAGTTATCAAACACTGCATATTTTTGATCTAAAGGTGCAAGACTCCATTGGCCTACTATTTCATTTGGCACAAAACAAAAGAAACAAACAAACAAGAAAAATAACCAGACCATCTTGATCCAGGATGTACAAGGAAGGGATGGTAGAGCTCAGATAAATTTGTGTGACATTAAAATGTTTAACATGTTTCATTGTTTGTGTTAATGGCAGTGGTGGATGAAGTACTCAATTTGGTTACTTAAGTAAAATACAGATACCAGGGCAAAAGACTTCTTAAGTATCACATGTAAAAATCAACTTAAGTAAAAGTATTAAAGTATTTTACAGAGAGTTTTAGAACAATTAAAGGATGAAATGTAGTGACTTTGATGTAATGAGTTAAGTGGATTTTAAGTGATTCAGTTAATCTCTTATTTTTTTGTGTATTTGGTTTGTTCAAAGTTGCAATGTTAACTCAAACTAAATGGGATAAAAATAAGTCTCAGCTATTTCAGCAGATCTCACACTTTTCAGTCCAGACCAATTTTATTTATTTTTTGCTGGTGTTTGGTTTTAATTATTTAAAAAGCAATTTTTGTAAACATACATACATATCACATTTCTGGAAATGGTATTTTGTATGGTATTTTTTATGAGATAGTTATTATATAATGTGGTGGAAAACAGTTAAAGAAGCATCTCACATCGTATAATGAAAAATAAAAAAAATTGACACATCCTAGACACAATTCACTAGTAGCAAAATAAATAGTTTATACTGTAAATACTTCCTTATTACAAACGAGCACACTGCAAATTTGTTTGATTTCAATGCAGATGCCTTATGACGCTATATGAATAAAGAAGCTTTTGGAAAGTTATGCACCTATTTCTTTAGTAAAAACAAAACTGGACACATTCTGGACACAATTAACGAGCAGTTAATCACTTGTTTACCTGTTCATGCTTCCTTTTTGTTAACTGGCACACTGCATGTTTGTTTAATTTCTGTGCACATGCCATATCAGTCTGAGTTTCTGTTTGAGCCAGGCTTGTTAAAACCAGGCACTCTGAGACTTTCCTGGCAGTGGCTTACACTTACAGGAATAAGCTGTTTGAATGGGCAGTCCTGGCTACTTTAGATAGGCTTTGAGGCGTTGGGGCAAACACAGCAAAGAGGTTGATTGAATACTATTTTAACACAGTGGCCTTGGCGTTTTTAGTGTGTGCTGTTGTAATTGATGTAATAATAATCAGCTATGTTTTAATATTTATATAAACATCTATGCTTTACTCCTACTTTAGGTCCTATATTAAGCAAATTTGACTTTTGTGAGCTTTAACCAATGTTAGACAAGAGTTGTGTGATTAAAACATGTTTAATAATCCTGCATTATTAGGCTGTCTGCGTACCCAAAGCTCAAAATGTTCCACCTTGTGATGTCATGAAATGGTAGTTTAAAAGTTAACAGCTAGCTTTTACCTTTTGTTCAGTAGAAATCAGGGATACCAAAGCTAAAATCATCCAAAGATTCTAGTGAAGGTGAATGGGCTTTAAAAATCACAATGGAGCATTTCTGGTATCACCACATGACATCACAAGATGGAACAGAGTATTCTGAGAGAAGAACTAAGGCCTAAATATTCATTTGTGTATTTTTTTGATTTGTGAATGAATGAAACAAAACACAGCTCCAGTTATGTTTTGACAAGAAATCACAGATCAGAAAATGGAGTAATACGGGCCACTTTTACCACAGTTTTTGTCAGAAGAAGGCCTGAATAGCTTAAGTATATCTATTATCAAATTAGTTACTCTGTACGTTTGATACCTTTAATTTTGAATATTCATTTTAAAATCCTCTCTTTTTGATTTCTTACTACACCAAACTCCTCAAATGATTAATATGAGTGTCGATATAGTATCCAGGAAACTGATTTGTTTTTACTAACCCAGGTGAACCAGGAAACTGTGAGGGCACATTGAGGTTTTCTTGCAGTGCATTTGAGTTAAGTATAAATGGGTGGAGTCCATTCTCTGACATCACTGTAAGAGTTGCCTGGAGTATAAAACACTCTACCCATCCCTAAACCTTTGATTTTACACCAGCAATAAGCACCATGGATGAAGACATGGACAACAGAGAAGAAGTGCCCAGGTAAGTTCTTCCTTCAAATACATTCACAGGATTTCTCTTTTTTCAATTTGTCTTAAAATATATATAAATATATTTAGTTATGCTACTGCTTTTTATTTATTTTCATTTGTATTTTGTTTTATTATATTAGGAAAACTTATATATAGTTTGGTAAGGAGTATAGTAGTTTAGTATAGTATGGAAATCAGCATGCATTAATTTATTTTACTTTTAAATTCAATTCAATTTATTTTTCACAATGTTCAAGATTATATATTATATATGGTCACACACATACACAAGTGTATACTGTACATTTAACATGTAATATATATGTCAGTATTTGTGACACTGTGAAAAACACAAACACCCTAAAAAGATGTGAGCTTATAGAATGGGGTCCACTTTTACACATGCTCTTATTCTTGTACTCTTATATTCTTATAGTTTATATTTTAATTTTTAAAATTATTTTATGTGCTATACCACTGGAGTTTGTGATTCTTTTATTCACTGACAATGGGAAAAAAAATCTCTTCTGATTCCTTTGTGTTACTTATATCTGTGGATAACTTTAATTTTTTTTTTTGCCCTGTTATTTATACCTAATTGAAATGATAAACTGTTAATGTTTTCATTTTACTAAACTTTATTTTGTATGGATCAGGAGGCCGTGGGACACAGCCCGAGAAGTGCCCATTATAGACGACCAAAACACACCATGGAAACTTATCAAACTGCTGCGCTTCATCACGCTCTGCGCAGTCGCCCTGATCGTGTTTGGACTAGCCCTGTGCAGCAAGGTCTGGCATTAGTTTTAAATATTTATTCCATACTTTTAAAAATGTATTTATCTTTTATGTATTTTATGTATATTTTACAATATTGTATTATTTTACCCCCTTCAGACATCTTTCCTGCTCCTGATCACCATGTCGAGTGAGGGCACAAAGGTGATCCCAGAGGAGCAGAAGCCAGTGTCTCTGCTGTGCATCGGCTGTGCTCTCATCACCTCCAGTGTGCTCCTCTTCCTCAAGAGCGTCTGGAAGGCCTGCTACAAAACCTCCAAGTTCCCCCGTGTTGCCACAGTTGCCCTGGTGAGTAGGACCATTATTTACTGAATGATAGTTTCTATATAAACATGCTGTGCCTCAGTGAGTGAATATTCATGTCCTGTTCCAGGTGTTCTTCTTTGAGTTTGTGGCCTCTGCAGGAGCAGCTATCCTCACCATAGTGGCTATGCCACATTTGGACATTGTGACCAATGTGACCATCTTGAACGGAGCGGCGTTTCTGTCTGCACTGCTGCAGATGGTGGCTCAGTGCACTGCCAAAGAGAGGAACCGCTTCCTGGTGCCCTCCATCACCGGCCTCCTCCTCATCTTGCTGGGCTACGGCCTCTTCGTGGCTCTGTACATCATGAAGGACACCAGGGACTTAAACATGGCCATGTGGGTGGGGCTGGCAGTGGGAGCCTCTCTGTTGGTGTCTTTTAACTGGTGGGAAAACTACTTTGGACTGATTAGTGAGCATAGCAACTCCTTAAAGGTCAGAGTTTTGTATTATGACATGAAGAGATGTCAGAACATTCTCAACATGTTCTCCAGCCTGCTCCGGATCGCTGTGACCGCAGCAGTTCTGGGAGCCTATGTCCCTCTGTCCAAGATGGACTGGGATGTGGTCAGGTCCATCCCCGCTCTACAGACCCGGGTCATAGCCATCACGGTGGGGGTGCAGCTGGTGTCCTCTGCTCTGTGCCACTGGTTCTCCCTGGCAGCGTGTAAAATGCATGCCATGCGGCGCTGCTTCATCCTGCCTCTGTACCTGGCCTCTCTGTCTGTCATGGCCCTGCTGGTGATCCCTGTGATCGTCTATTATCAGGACTACAGGCTCAACCTAAACGGCACCACCACCAACTTCACACACTATTGTAATGTGGTGGTGAGTGGTCGAGATGGTAACCTGAGCTCCAGTGTGTTCCCTGAGCTGGTCTATGACGTCACCCACACACTCTGCTTCCTGGACATGTCCAAGATCAGTGACATCGGCATCCTCACCGGTAATAAGCGCTTAAACTCTTATTTTATTACTATGGTCACTGAACTCAGATGAATGTGACTACAGTGGTACAAAGTGCTCTCTTAAAGCTGCACAGTTCTGTCCCTGAGTGTGTGTGCTTCTCCTCAGGCTCTGCTGTGTCGTGGTGGCTTGGCCTGGTGCTCTGTACCATCCACCTGTGGCACCTGAGTCTGTATCGCATCCAGAGGACTCAGGACCTGTTTGTGCGGAGGATGTACGAAGGGGGCTTCATAGAGCAGTCTCTGCTGCTCAACACACGCTTTGAGATTAGGACCAAAGACAAACTCAAGGGGTAAGTGATTTTCATGTGTTAGAGGTCTGCGAGTCTAAAGAATCTGATTTTGTTAAATAACACTGCATATTGTCTCTTTAAGCCTCAAAAATGTTGAACCTGCCATGATTTATCTGTGTGCAACAATGTGGCATGAAACCTATGAGGAGATGATGAACATTATAATATCCATCTTCAGGTTAGTGCTCTAAGTGTTGCATGTTTTTCCTTATTACATTTTTTGTATAGATTTTAAACGTGTTTCTTTATGTTATTTCTGTGGTGTTCAGATTGGATAAATACAGACCAAGAGACAATGCAGAGTTCAATGACTTCAGCTTTGAGGCTCATATCTACTTTGATGACGCATTCATGGACATAAAGGGAAGTCGAGGGCGTCACCTGAATCATTTCGCCAAGAATCTAGTAGAAATCATAGCCGAGGTTTATGGGTAAGATAAGTGCATTCTTATTTACCCCTCTCTTATTTCTATTGCACACATTTATATATTTATATTTTAATATATTTTCAGCATTTTCACAAACATAGACGAGAAAATGTTCATAAAAAAACAGCAGCATCCAAAACAGAAGATCATCAAGACACCGTATGGAGGTCGGATAGTTATTAAAATGCCCTATGGGAATTTTATCATAATTCACTTTAAGGACAAAGAACGCATCCGCCACAAGAAGAGATGGTCACAGGTAAAACCAATCATATATCCATATAACCATCATATAAAATCATATAGCCTGAACTGTAGAAACATGACATGAAAACATATGTACATCTTTTGGTCAGAAAGTAAGGCTATTCTTCTCCCAAGCCAATCTGCTGTACTGGTGGTTGTGGTGATGCCATACTCCCAGATGGGGGAAGAGAGCCATATTTTCCTATTGAATGATTATTTTCTGTGTAAAATATAATATAAAATGTAAATTCACCCTGAAAACAAAAATCTTGTTAAGGAAAATGCCCTTTGCCCCATGCTCTATTTATAAAAAACATATGGAAGCAACTGCCAGTGACTCTACCAGACAATCTCTATCATGGGACATTACAGAATGGGCTTTAAGTGGGTGAATTGAACAATGAAACCAGACTGGCTTCCTTGTTCACGGTGCAAAATCGGATACAGGACCTATAATCATTATAATTGAAATAATAACCCTGTGCTTTCCATAATTACAGTCTTTGTTCTAATAGTATTTCTGTTCTGTTACCTAACCATGACTCTGCCGTAAAGTATGTAATGTCTTAACCGCCATTTTGATTTTCAGGTTATGTACCTGTACTACCTTCTGGGATACAAGCTCATGTCCAAATACTATTCTCGCTGGAAGAAGGGAGAGGATGAGAGTTCTCTAAAGCAGGATATCCAGGTAAACTGCATTAAGACTATATTACTGTAAATCTGAATGATATCAACTATTGTGAAACTGACCTGTGTTTTTGTCTCAATAGAAAGAAAAACACAACACGTACCTCCTGGCTTTAGATGGGGACACAGACTTCCAGCCTACAGCAGTGGTTCTCCTCATTGACCGGCTGAAAATGTATCCTCGAGTTGGGGCAGCATGTGGAAGGATTCATCCCACTGGAGCAGGTTAGAACTGGTCTTTCTTGAAAATACTCATTTTGTGGAGTGGGTTAGTGTAAAACAATACAAATATGGTTCAATATAAACATAAATATAGACATATGTATAAAAGAAAAGAAAGACATGTGTAACAAAACTGTTTGCAGAGTGCAAAGACTGAAAACAACCATTTTAACTAAACCTAAACTAAATGAAATTTGCAAAATGTTAGCAGAAACAGATGTGAAATGTGTCTAAATAACATTAAACCCTGGTCAAAACAGGATCATGTATGACTTTACAAAACCTAAAAATATCTAAACCAGGTCTTACTTAAAACAGATTAGCTTTCAAAGTTCACTTCTATAACCCTGCAACAACCTTGGGCACTCACTACAAAATTTAAATGGCATCTGTAATCATTTCTCGTAATTAGTTTTATATATTTTCACACACAACACAGTAAAAAACAACAACATTTCATCTATATTCCTCTGTTTTTCCTCAGGCCCAGCAGTGTGGTTTCAGAAGTTTGAGTATGCCATCAGTCACTGGCTGCAGAAGACAGCAGAACACGTGTTTGGCTGTGTGCTGTGCAGTCCGGGATGCTTCAGTCTCTTCAGAGCAGAGGCACTTATGGACGATAATGTGATGAAGAGGTACTCCAGCAAGTCCCTCGAGGCCAGCCACTATGTCCAGTACGATCAAGGTGAGAGAGATGATTAGAGATGATCTGTTTCTTAAATCAGGAGTTGGCTGATAGTTAATAGGTTCATAATATGAATGTAAAACATAACATCATATGTTAAACTGACTTTAGTCCAGAATATGAATTTCATTTTGATTAGCTTTGGTTTTGTTCAGTTATTTTATATAAATTAAATACATGTAATTTGCTTTGTGCTGTGCAGGGGAGGACCGCTGGCTGTGCACTCTGCTGCTAAAACAGGGCTGGAGAGTGGAGTACAATGCGGCTTCAGATGCCTACACCAATGCACCTGAGGATTTTAAAGAACTCTACAACCAGGTCAGTAACACAAAACCCACTGAATACTTTGTATTCATAACATCCTATAACTATATCATTGTGTGTTAGCAACTGGGTCCACATATAAGATGTGTAATGTAATGTAAAAGTCTCACCTCCATTTTAAACTATGGGGTTTTAAGAATTTTATGCTTGGACACAATCTGTTATCTTTAGCCTAATGCTAACTTCTTCTCTCATATCTCACTTGTTTGCAGCGCCGTCGTTGGGGTCCTTCTACTTTGGCCAACATTGCAGATCTCTTGGGAGAAACCACAGTGATTTCTAAAAGGAATCCATCCATGTCCAAGCCCTTCATGTTCTACCAGCTCTTTACCATGATTTCAGCCATTCTAGCCCCAGCTACCATCTGTCTCATGATAGCAGGTTAGTTTTGAAGCTATTTCTATGACTTGCACTCTTTCTTCTTTCATATTAAGTACAGAGTTGTGGGCGGGGAGAGGGGGTAGTTCAAAACTAAAGATTATTCAAACATACACAAATCAATCTAAGTGAATGGTGAGGGAGTGACATTATAACATGGTTAAAAGACAGTAGATTTAGCAAAATATATCCTTTTTAAATAGCTGATGTTTTCTTGTGATTCACACTGTTTCTGTTTTGCTTTCAGGAAGTATGTCTTTCATGTTTAACATGCATTCGAGCCTGGCCCTAGTTTTATCTGTGATTCCCCCTGCCATTTACCTGGGCCTGTGCTTCAAACTGAAGTCAGACACACAGATCACAGTCGCAGCCTTCCTCAGTATCATGTATGCCTTCCTTATGCTGGTGGTGTCCATGGCTATTATTGGTAAGTCACTGTCAAAACAAAAACAAATTTACCATAAAAAATGCTGATACTGGTCAAGGGACATTGCCACATACCACAGGGTTTAGTTTCCTTTTATATGCAAAATAAAGCTACAATATTTAGTTTTAAATTGTTAATTGCTATGACAACATTCATAATTGTTTGTCATTCTGAAACTCATGCATAGTTCACAACTGTATGATATTTTGTCTTGGCCATTCCACATAAAAAAAAAAAAAAACTAGCAGCAAGCTCAATGTGTTCTCAGTTTGCACAAATGAACTAAGGTGAAATTTAATACTGTGGTGGCAAATTCAGTTATAAATTTGTGATTGTGGGCTAAATATACTTTAAGCCATTTCTGTTCCACGTGTCAAATTTACAGACTGTTTGAATCTTTCTCTCAAAAACTAAGAATTGCATAAATACTGTAGCATGTAAGCCCCTATGTCCATTTCATTTTTTTTTCATTTTTTTCTTCTTAGGTGCCATGGTGAAAGACAAAACCATTTTCACTCCCAGCAGCATGTTCGTAATCATCATGGCGATCATATACTCTGTGACTGCGTTGATGCACCCACAGGAGTTCCCTCTGGTCTTCTATGGCTTCCTCTACATTATCTGCATCCCCAGTGCCTATCTGCTGCTCACTATCTACTCAATGGTCAACCTCAACAATGTCTCATGGGGAACCAGAGAAGTCAAACCTGCGCCAGGATCTCAGTCTGACCCCACTAAACCCAAGAGCTCCAGAGAGAAAGGTAATAGACTTCTACACCATGCAAACATAAATCTGAATATTGGATCTATATCTCAAGATACTTTGAAATGAATGAAATCATAATTAATAACCAGTTTCAAGTGCAATGTTCTCACTTTGTTGACAGTATATTATCTTGACATAAATAAAATGTCAAACTAGCTAGGTTTGAGTAAAAAATGGATGTGGATTGAATTCCGTGTTGATGACATAGGTAGCGGTATTTCAGAACTCACCACTACCTGTATTTTCTTCTTTTCCCCTCAAGCTGCCCCACTTGACTGATGTTGACTATGTTAAATATCTACCATAAGCACAAACCAAGAAATATGAAAATCTGTCTCATGCACCTTAGACTGGCCTATTCACTCCACCACACCACCAGGCCATAGCTGCACTGTCCTGCTTTAGTGTTTAACTTTGTTCTTTGTTTAGTATTTAACTTTGTTCTATAGTAATATAGTAATTGTTTATTGTTGTAAGGTGATCTTGTATGTCTAGAAAGGCACCTAATAAATAAAATGTATAAATATGTATTATTAACAAAGAGTAAAATTAAGAATAAAATACTGAATTTCCCATTTTATGCTCTGAATTTAAGCTCAAACTAAATTTGTTTACAGCCAAAAGTGCCTTGCAGCGCTTCTTCTCATGCTCCTGGACCCAGGACTGCTGTAAAAAGCCCAGTCAGAGACCAGAGAGGAGATCAGTGGCCCAGGAGCCTGTGGTAGAGCCCCAAGAGGAGGAAGTGGATGGACCCCTGAACACCATAGTGGACGGCATCCCCACAACCAACCTCCGGTGAGCAACTACACACAACAAGCCAACTCATTATGACTGCACAATATAGGGAGGATTAGCATCGCTAATGTCTAAATACTTAATAATGACTAATTGTAATATTTTAAATATATTCAGAGGTGTTAGATTCCTGTTATACGGTGCCATTTTGAGGACAGTTAACCATCTGTAAAATGCAATATTCTAAATATAATAAATATTTATTTTCCCAGAATAGCACTGCATTTAATTTATACCACGTTATATAAGTTTAACCTTTTTTCCTGTCATTTTCTGCAGGAACGAACCAGTTTATGACTACCCTTATCAATGTAAGTACTTGTCTTGGAATCATTTGTCATTTGTAAATTTCATATTAGACATTCTCTAATGTTTTTGTTGATGTTGCAGGCTGGGTGACAGAGATGAAGGATCTGTGCACTGACATGGAGCTTGAGGAAGGTTCGCTTGAAAAGGTGTGGCCAGCTCGCTTTGTGTTTAATAGTAGTAATACATTTTATTTTGTTGAGTAACACACTTCAGCAAACTTGTCTATTTTAAACTACTCCCTACCGATACTTACGGATAATTACTCTCTTGTGTAACTTTGAACTGTGGGTTAAAATAAAATTGGATGACTGTTTTTACCAGGACGAGGAGGAGTTCTTCATTGACCTGCAGCAGAAGTATCTCGAACCTTTGCCCATGGACAAGGCCAAACAGGAGAAAGTCAAAGAAGAGCTAAAAAGCTTGAGAAACAAGGTAAAAAGAAAAAGAGAAAAGTGTAATGACATATTGTGGAACATTCCAGGAAGGATTTTAAAAAAGTGTTGTGTGACCTTTGCTTCCATGTCTTCTCTTTGCAGATAAACTTTGCCTTCTTCTTCATGAATTCCCTGTGGCTGGTGGCCACATTCACCCTACAGACTTTTGAAGTGGCCATCTTTATCGAGGTGCCAAAGGTCACTGTGGAGCTGGAGAGTCTGGGACAAAATCTCAAAGTCGACCCCATTGGGTTCATGTTCATCATTGGATTTGCTGCGTCAGTTATCATTCAGTTTGTGGCTATGCTTTTCCACAGGTTAGTCTTCACAGCATGTCACATATACAGTATTTACTTAAAAGCACTAAAGAAAATAGTTCAAGTGATTTTGTTATGTTATTATCTTTTAGACTCAACACGCTGATCCATTATGTGGCCTTCTTGAACACGGAGCCAAAACCTGTGTCGAAAACTGAAGACATATATATGCCACACAAAAAGAAGGTATTGTAATATATAAATACAGTATATTTAAATATTGATATAACATGCTGTGTTGTTTCTCAAGTAAATCTTATCACAGTATTCCTCCAAATACAAGACACACAATCCTCTTACTTTTATAAATGTGTGATCAAAAATGATAAATCTAACAGAATTTGTACAAATTGTTGTCAATTATAGTCTACACTACCTTCCTCTGCCCCAACATGAACACTAACAACACCCACTTCAATTTGAAAAAAAAAAAAGATTATTATTTGAAATGTTCAACATAGTTTCAATATAGTTTTAAATCTAGTTTTGACTGTGTTGCCTATGTATGTGAGTGAGCGGTGATTGCTGGTCAAATGGCTTAACACAGCAGAGTATGGAAGTAATAAAAAACTAAATAAAAATAAGGCAAAATAAAGCACGTAGAAAAGCTCTAGATAGGACTAATGCATTATTAAGTAATTCTACTGATGACGACACAAAGTTTGTAGATCAATAGTGAGTCTTACCCCAATTCTTAATAACCACTTTGTAAAACGTATGTGAATCTAGTTTTTACCTCAGCACTAGAAACAGGTTGGTCTTGTTATTAAATGTAAAAAAGGAACATACTTAAACGTTTAATTGCTGCAACACGCCCTTGTGATCTTTTTGGCCACCATAACACAACCACAATTGCGCACATTTTTAGTTGCGCTGTACTCACTGGCAGATCAAAAATCTGATCATTATCTAATTTCTAATGTTATGTATACAGCAATGTGATTTCTTTCAAATTGTTATTTCTTTCAAATTGTTCACCCCTGTGCAGGTTTTGACAAAGAAAATGATGCAAAAAAGGGCAAACTAATGTTGCAAAAACTAAAATTGAAGAAAGAATAATTTAAAGTGTTATTTTTAAATTAATTGTTTTTTGATGACCAGCTTAATAAGACAGACCTTAACCATAGGTGTCACGTCACTTTGTTTCAAATTGTTTATTACTGTAGTAACAGTCCTATTTTTTCATCACTTCAAAACCCATGGATTGATAACGTTATATTTGCCATGAAATATCTAAAAGGTAAATTTGCAAATGTTGAACCAGATAATTTCTTTTAGTGACTAGACCCAAGAACTTACTATATTTCCACAAAAGCTTACATTTGAATAATCTTGATTTTAGCTGCGCCCCTTCTGGATTAAATATTATGCGTCTATAGAATGTTATGACGTCATCTAAAACCCAGCACTAATCCCCACTCTCTTTTTCAGGTGGTTTCTGCTCCGCCCAGTACAGAGCCTTCCGACTATGGCTCTGGTTCCATCCATACGTCAGAAATAGATGATCAGTCCCAAATGGACCTGGACTACTTCAGCTCGGACGACAGTGATGATGACATGTTCCCCTATATTCCCACCAGGAGCCCAGATGACGGCACTCTAGTGTAAAACTAAATGGACAGTAGCACTTTAAAATATCCAGTTTTGTGATCATTTTCTATGTTATTTATGTTTACAATCGTTGATGTGTGAATAATGCTATTTCTGTATTCATAGAGCACTTTTTCTGCACCTAAGGGTGCAACAATTCAACCTCTTTAGATATTTATGTATTTTATTTACTTATTAGAAGTATGTGCTATGTGAAGGATTTTACTGTAATATGTAATAGTTCTGCAAATGAGAAGCACTGGGGAGAATATTGAAGTAAACAACCTTCTATGTGATAGTATTGTAGATGTGTTTTTAAAGGTAACTTTTCGCCTGGGGGTATGCAACTGCTTGTCTCCATGGAGATGTTATTACTAACTCTAGAGTGTTCCACAGTATGGCATTAAACTGATCTATTTTCCAGTTATTCAATTACAGGAGTTTTCAATGTTAAACATAACATGTTACTTTTACTGGGGAGACCTCTCCACAGATCTGACTTGTAACTTGGCTCATCAGTGTCACCTGCTTGTTTCCATGTAGATAATTATTCATATTTAATGCCATACTGTTGAATATTTCAGGCAGAGTGATCTCGTCTCCATAGCGGCCCTCCATGATAAAAGTTACCCTTTAAAATGAAGGATATTCACAGGGTAAGGGAAGAATAAAACTCAGGGTATTACATAGTTATGAACAAAATGTATTGACAGTGTTAAACGAAATACTGACGCTCCATTTGGCAAGAATGAAAATATGATGTATTTTACTGTTGAATTTTCATGTGCCCAGTGAAATGACATTTTTGAAGTAAAAAAAAAAGAAACTAAAACAAGATGTAGAAGATTGGTTATTAAAAAGGAATTATTATTATTATTATTATTATTATTATTATTATTATTATTATTATTATTATTATTATATTCAGTCTGCATGTTTACTTTATGCAGAGGTGGGTAAATAGACAAAAAAATTAACTCAAGTAAAAATATTGTTATTTCAAAATAATATTACTCAAGTGGAAGTGTAAAATCATAAGAGTAATTTAAGAGTAAGAGTAGTTGTTACATTTTTGGCATGTTTACGCTTACTCACAGTGGAATGAGTAACAATCTTTTACTCAAGTAGTTGTGCGACTTCAAAAAAACAGTACTCACACAGAAGTACAACTACTAAAACTACTCTGAGAAGTACAATTATCTAAAATTTACTACTTACCTCCTCACCTGTGACTATGCAGGTCCTGTTTTAATAGAGAAAACAGTAGTGAATAAAAAAAAAATATATAGTCCTTTGTCCCTTTTTATTTAACCAAAGAATGTAATTATTGGAATTGTATTTCTAACAAATTAGATGGATGTGTTGCCTGAGGGTGGAATCTGTGAACCTGCTTTGGCTCACATTCTCAAACGCAGATACAATTATGTTTTAATGACACACAGCTATGAGAGCATCTAATTATGGGCGTACCACTGTCTTAGAGTTTTTCTTACTGTAAACACCATTCCAGCATTGTCCTGAAAACAGGGGTTTATGGAGGATTATAGTCTTCAAAAGTGGGAGAGTTGGGATTTATAATCAATATGTTGTGAGCCAGGCATAGTCATGCTATTGTACTTAAATAACTGTACATTTTCATCATACCTTAGACTGCCACACCAAAAAGGATCCCTGATAAGTGGTCATGTAATGTTGGAAGAGCAAATGTTGTATTGTCAGTTTCTGCTTTGGACACAGCCTGGATAATTATGTGTCTGTGGCTTCAAAATGTCTTATATAACGAGATACAAAGCATTCTTCTGCCATTAAGTATGTACTCTTAGTGTTTTAAAAGTGTAAAACCAAGCAAAGGTAACTCCTTGGTTGGTGACACGACACATAGGTACTACAGTACTTATGCATTAACACTTATAAATGTGCCTGGGATCCAGAATATACATTTCTGCTTTATAAAGTTGTGAGTCTGGTCTCCAGTGAATCTCCCTGTTTTCAAAAGGATGAGAAAGGCAGGTGGATTAGCCAGTCAGGGGCACGCATGGTCCATCCAAACAAATCAAATAAGGCATCTTATGAGGAAAATAAAAGGGAAAAAACATTGCAGATTTTGAAAGCAGTAAACTCTGTTAATTGGAGGTGAGAGAAATGTATTTTTGTTTGTAAATGATAGGTGACCAATGAGCTCCTTTGTTTCATATGTGTTACTACAACAAAACAAATCTGATTGGACTAACATGTTTGGTTCTGGCTTGAGACGGGATGGATGGTGTGAGGACCAAACTAATATAGTCCCATGGAGTCCAAACAGAGTGGCTGGGTGCACTTGTGGATACCTGACTCACACACTGAGCAGCTTTTGAAACTTTTTTTGAGCTCAGTTTTTTAACATTGTTTCATGGGATTTTAACCAACTAAGAAGTGCAACATGTGTAGTTCAAATGACACAAGTATGAGTAGAGTGAGGACTTTCCTGTTGTGTTCACCTGGCTCCCCCGGACACTGCTGTGATGCTGCAGGACACAGTGGAGGGACATTTTTGGTTCTGCCCTGACACAGGATCTACAGATTTTACCTGACCAGTTCTTCTGTGAAACTGCACTGAGATGTTTGAATGAGACCACAGACTATATAAAAGAAATGGACTAAGCAAGTGAGACGTCATCTGTAGCTTCAGCTCTACTCAGATGAAGCTCCCGATGCTAATGGTTACAGGAGCGAGTTTGGAGCCTATGTGGAAATCCGACTGCAAGTATCATAGCAACCACAACGGCCAATCAAAATTCCGGTTGTTAAATGTGATTGCCCTTCTCACCAGAGAGCGACAAATACCCTGCTCAGTCCATTATTTATGTTCATAGATTTATTTAGGGGCAAAATTAAAAATTGTAGAAACTGTAGAAAAATGAAAATAGGTAGAGCAGGTTAATACGGACATTTTAAGACCAAAATGATGAGGCTCACTACAGCAGGTACAGAGAGAGGAGCCACAAGATCCCAATGTAAGTCAAAGGGAGCCAGGGTCAGAAGGAGCCGGAAGAGCCTCCTGGCACACTTCCTATTTGGAACATGATGGCTAGCGTGCTAGCTATAGTATGTCCATTCATATATACCAGGCATGTCCAAACTATGGCCGGGGGGGCCAAATGTGGCCCTCAGACAAATTTTTCTTGGCCCTCTGGCTTCCGGGTGAATTGGCCCAAATTACCTTGCATCAAATAAAAAAATACTTTTTACTGCAAGTTTTTTGAAATTCTACCTTGATGAAGCTAATATTTAATATTTAGTGTGTGATTTTAAGGATCTTAGCATGAATAAAGACCGATGGCTCATTCTAATGTGTTAAACATGCACATATTTAAATTATTCCATGTACTGAGCACCAGTCTACGGCCCTTGATCAGCCCTCTGCTTCGTCTTTGTTTAGATATGTGGCCTTTGATGAAAAAAGTTTGGACACCCCTGATATACGGTCTATGAGTGAGGCACAAAGGTCACTGAGAAGCAATGGAAATTCCCTTGGGAGTAAAGTCAGTAAAGTATCTCTCTCTCTCTCTCTCATGTCCATCCGTATAAAAAATATAGAGAGATATCATTCTGGATATGATAATAAACAACAATCATTCAATACAAAGACACAAGGCACACAAACTGTATATACACAAGGGACAAAACACTACCCTGGATCACAGGTTACAATGTAACAATAGAATAGTTCTTAGTAATACAGTTCTAGTAAATCCACATACTAAACAAGCCCAGAGATCTGGCACACTCAGGCACTGACGTATAGCTACAAATAAGTCAAATAAAGTACAGATACAGATTTGTCTAAGTACAAGTAGAATTAAGCAAAGTATAAAATATATTCTGTATGCTATATCCAACAGGTGGGGTAATGACATCCAGTGAAAAGATGGTGTTTGATGGTGTTTCAGTTGTCTATTACACAAGGGAAAGTTGTTGGACTGCTGTGGAGGATGGTATAATCATTTTAGTCAATTTCAGTGTTTTCAACTGATAAAAAAAAAAAAAATAAAAAAAAAAAAAAAAATAAAATAATATATATATATATATATAATATAATATATATATATATATATATATATATATAATATAATAATAAATATATATATATATTACAATGACAAAGCAAAAAAATAAAAAATTAAAATAAAATAAAAGTGCTGTGACTCACTCTCAGGGAGGATCACACTGTTGTCTAAACAAAAGTAGGAGTCATGTAATTACTGCTGATGTCTATTCAACTTACCATGATGCACAAGTAGCTGGAATTACGCATTCAATTAAACCATTATCAATTCAAAATCTAATTATTTGTATAGTATTTTTGACCTGTGACCTCATAGCAGGCACCAGAACACAACGCCTATGCCAATTGTAATGGATGATGATGCATTCAAATTCTTGTAAAGTTGAACATTGTGTTGGTACTCAATCATCAGGAGGAGTTAATAAATAAATACGACATGAAATAAACACATTTCACCCAATCAAATGAAGTTGCAAACGATGACCAATTTTTTTTCCTTTTATTTTATAATGATTTAACAAAGAAATTCAGATTATTACTATTATTATCTTTTACAATTTAATTATCTATTGTCACTAATTATTTACAAGAAAGCACTGCCTTGTCAAGTTTTATGTTTTCATTTTGATTAATTTGCATAATTCCATTTAGCAATAGTGACCCAGACACCTAGTGCATTTCTTTGTGACTGCCACCAGAGGACAGACTGTAAATTTCTGTAGTCAAAAATAATAAATAAATAAATACACAAAAAGATTATTCCCAAAAAGTAAAGTCCAAGATGAGTTTTTAAAGCTTTTCTTGTATTTTAACTAAAAATGTCTCTTGATCATTATTTATCTGCTCTTTTGCAATGTGACTGCAGATTTATTTGCTCTATTATCTTCTATCTCGTCATCAAGTAAAATATCATTCAATTAAAATCATTAAATTCAAGTACAATAGCAGAGTTTAACCCAGGACACATAACCGAGTGGGTTAGGCTTTGGTTTAGATTTGTTTGTACACTTAATATTTGCCTTATGTTGATACTATTGTTTTCAATTTTAATAATTAAAAACAGCCTAACTAAAGTAAACTTAGTGGTTTTCTTAGACACACGTGGCATCTTTCAAAGGTCAGCCCATGCAATGTCTGCAAGTGTTCATGCATTTGATGATCAATGGTGGATGTAGTTATAGACTGAGGCCATGAATGTCTTATTTTCACATGAATTACAGCCATTTTGCCTTGTCTTGTTTTCACTCTGAATTAAATATGCACAACATAAAGAGACATTCCTACACGGGGTCACCTATCCACAGATTTGGTCTGCTTGTCTCCATGGAGATACGCTTTTTGATTGCCATATTGTGGAACATTCAAGGCAATGAGCTCGCCATGCACCCAAACTGTGAGGACATTCACTAGAAAAGTTACATAGCGCACCTTTGACTTAAGTTCTGATGACGTGAGGACCATTATCTGCTTTTGCCACTACATTGTATATCCTCATAAAAAAGAAAATCACATGACGTGTTAAAGCGTGACTGCCACACCTTAGCTTACCTATTAAACGCAATCATTATCTCAGCATTGAATACAAAATAATTGACTAATCTAATGTACAGCAGTTAAACAGAGTTATCCCAGGGCACATACACTAAGTATGTGAGTCTTCTAAGGCCTGTTTCATTTGCCAACTTCTAATATGACTTAATGAGTTCTAATAATGTATGCAGATGAGGTAATAAGAATCTGTTTAATTAAAAAAAAACAAGGGCCATGTTTTATGTGTC